CCCGACAGCTGCTTGCACAAGGGTGATCAGAGCTGGACGTGGTAGTCCAGGTGGGCTCTGAAGTGCTATGGCTACAAGCACTGGGCATCTTTCTATCACTTCTGGAAATATCTTGCCTGAAGCCTTTCATGCCCATATTTCACTTCTTTGAGAGCCACAGCATCAGGTGGGCTTTCAGTCTTGTGAGAAATTAATACACCATTTTCTGTCCTTTCCAAACCATGGGGTCTCAGAAGAAAAACAACCAGGGTTTCTGCTAAGTACAGAAATTGACACTCTGTACAAATAATTAAATTATCATTACTCCAGCTCTAACGATGATTTGGTTTCCTGTCTGTATTTCTTTCTCTGGATTGACAGCTCCTCACTTTAGGCATATTTTATTAGTATTTACACCTCTTTTTGTGCCAAGATCTTTCATGAAAATAGTACACAGTTGACAAAGTCAGTCTTAGAAGCGAACCCTTTCAGAAACCCACCAGAAACCTCACTTCCCGTTTCAACACAATCCACTGTCATCTGTTATTTTTCCAGCTATCTGTTAAGAGGTAAGCTATCAGGTACATAAATATGAGAAAAGATAAGACCTCTCATGTTTCTGCAAAAGAGAAAAATGATCAAATATGAGTTACCTGGCACAATCTGCTCTTGGTGAGCTGTGTAACTCTGTGGTACTAACATTTGTGCTCTGCAGAGCCCCTTCTGAGTTTGCCCTTCTTATGCGCAAATGGTATCAGGTGAGTGACAACAGTTCAGATTGTTTCCTTTGCCTTTGTCTAATTAGCTGTGGTATATTTGCTGCCTTCCAAATCACGGTTGCTCTCACTGTTTTTTCTGAGAACAGCTGTAATTAAAACTCTGTGCCAATGGACAGCAACTCTGTGAGTCTGGTCTCTCAGTACCCTCATCTCTTGAGCTTCTGACAACCTTTTACTGCCACTTCGTATTTTCAGATTATTGTCCACATCTCAGTCTCATCCTTTTTACTATCGAAGACACTGTGCTGCAGAAGGACAGTGGTCAGGAAAAGCCACTTGAATTTTAATTCATTTATTATTATAATTTATTTACAGAAAAGAACCCAGTAACTGTTACATGGATTTTCTAGTTCCTGTATGCTCACATTTAAAAAGGGACTTGAAGAACATGCAGAAAGCAAATGAAACAAATTCTTTCAGGATAACAAAACAAAAAAAAAAAAGAAAGAAAAAACCCCACCTTTAATTTCTGAATAATTTAGCTAGAATGAGTTAAATTGTCAGGTGTGCTTTGACTGCAGGAAATAATAACTCTCACAGCTGGTTATTCAGACTAGTGTGAACAGAAGTGAACAGTGACCTGCACAGCCTATAATGTACTTTGCATTCCCTACTACATCCTTAGGGCACACAGCACTCCGGGGTCAAAGACCTCACTAGAAACTCTGAAGTAACCTGGCATTTTTAATCATGCAATCAGCCTGGGGAGAGCTGCCTGCTACCAAATCTCTTCTTCAACCACATGGCCTTTTAAAATGAACACTCTCAGTTTCCCTAATCATTATGCTCACGGATGATCACTTTGTCTCTTTTTAATGTGAGGATATTGCCCACTCTTTTCATCATGGCTGAGGTCTCCTGGGATAATCTCCTCCAGCCAATGATCCTTTTCAACCTGCCTACTCCTTCTATCAGTGATAAGATCAAAGCTATCCACTTGAAAGAAAATCTTTAGGATTTAATTGGTGTTTCCCATTTCCTCACATGCCAATGTTCTGGCAAAAGTTAAAACTAAAACCCATGGGCGCTCACCCACATAGGCACTCAACGCCAGCTACACACAGGTCACTGGCTCCATCAAAATGTCTCAAGTGGTTCCTCAGAAAAAAAAATCTCGCTACAGATGAGCTGTCACTCACAACCATGAAGTAAACAACTTGGTTATACCCATTGGTGAAACACAATGAAGGAAGCACACTGATTCTGTAGCTATTAACAGATTCCCCACTCTTCTAGCCAAGCTTCAGCCATTCAGGTCTTGGCACTCCAGCAGTATGCCTGCATCGGTGCAAATAGACATCATGAAAATCACTGCACTTTTGTGAAAGAGACTTTCACAAGCGTACCTGTGCCTTAAAGCTTCAGCACACTTATGGCCACCTAGCACGTTCCAGTTTTTGTGGAGCGATGCGGCTCTCCTCCTCCAGAAAAGTGTTACATGTCTGATCTTAGAGGCTCAGCCTTGCTGCTCCTCTTCCTTCTGAGGGAAAAGGGCTGGTAGTTCTCAACTACCATAGGAAGAGGAAGCTAGAAAGACAGCAATCAAAAAGAATGTTTCCATTCCTGAAAAAGTATTGCCTAGGAATTAAGTGCATGGAACAGGGTGCAGGTCATTCTTGCCCGGCCAAATTAGCAGGGAGTCCAGACACTCCTACTGAAGGTGATTCTTAGGGCAAGTATGCATCGTGAGAGCCACCTTCTGTACGAAACATCTGAAAATAGCAACCCTTTATAGTTGCCCTTTATAGCTGCCTGTGAAGCCATTTCCACAGCATTTTACTACGTGAAAAAAACATTATGTAATGAATACTGGTTTAAGAATAAATGTTTTCAAAGAATTGATTCTGCTGCAAGCATTATGGTAAAGGCCCATCAATGAAATGGCATTATGACATTAATCAGGGAAGTCAAGAGATATTTATTGCCTTTAGCTGGGAAATTATTTGCAAGGAAAAAGCAAAAGTGCCTGTTTTCCATTCCATCATGATGGTGCAGCTTGCAATAATTGTAGTAATAGGCCAAACTGTGCTGTGCTTTCACCTGAAGATCCACAGTAAGTCATTCAGTCAGAAAATCTGGGAGGCACAATTTGGCTGCATATGGTACTAACACAACATTAAAGAGGTAATGTTTTCTACCTTTGGTTTTTATTATTTTTTTTAGCTATTTCTTCCCAGTAGCAGAAAATGAAACAGTTAAGAGAGATAGATTATACATAAGAATTTGTCAGCTGCATACAGTGCTGAATATACGCAAGTGAAACACAGCTCCATTCATTGCTACTTGCAACGTTATTTATGTACAAACAGATGCAAGTCCAGGGTGTAAGGGTGGGCGATGGGGGTACATGGTGCTACTTGTGAGGGCTAGTGTTTTCAAGGACACCTAACGATGAATACAACTCATGAGAAAGAAGCTTTGGGGACTCACTAGTATGAAGGATAAACTGTGCGTGTGGCAAAATATTAAACACATTTTCGATTGATTTAGGGAACAGGGAGGTTTCAGCACATGGCAGGATCAGGCTGTTAAAACACAGGTTTCACTGCACTTGCTAAGAAAGGACAGACTCCATGAACTACCTGCACCGTTTACTTGAATGTAGGTGAGACCACAGCATTTCATGAAACTTCTGTTCAAACACAATAATTTCTAAGAACAACAACATCCTACAATGAGGTCAACAAAAAAAAATGTCAGATACACTTGCCCAATATGATTGGAAGAACAGCGTCAGATTAAGCCAGTTCCAACATAGAGTATGCAAGGTGCTATTTGCTGTCATAAAGGGTTTGTGGGTCTGAGCTTTAATTGGACTGAGATAATAAAAAAGTCCCGATTTGTCAGCAGTATGAATGCCTGGGTAATGCTGCGAGGCAAATCGACCATACGTTTTGAAATTAGTGCTAGAAGAAAGCCTGTGTTCCAGGGAGCCCACAAACACTTTTGCTATTCAGACTTCTACCTAATACGGTGAAAAAAATAACACGGATGAATGTCAGGCATGGTTTGTATGACAAGATTTACAGGGCCTGCCTCATATTACCTTTCGGAGAGGCAACAAATAGTCTTTGCTGATCTGCAGTTAATCTTACACGACTGGCTCAGAAACCTACCCACACTAATAATAGACCATGTGTGCTGCCGTCAGTGAGTTCATGCCGAAAGGCACCGAGGAGCACAACTCAATGTTAAAGAAAGCATAAAATAACTCTTACGTTGGATAGCCTGCATCTTTTGCTCCATTAACCAGCGGCTACCAAGGAAGTGGCAAAACGACAGTGCTACAAGAAATTAGGCTTGTGGTTACCTGATAGATTACGACCCGGAATTTGTTTTTCCTCAGCATCTCCTGTTGTTTGGCTTCCACCTTCCGCACGCTGGTGCTCTGCCTCTCCACTCGCGCCCGCACCTCCTTCACGGTGGAGCTGACTTTGCGGGTTTTCTCCAGTAACTTGTTCACCGTGTAGCCCGTATTGCCATGAGCCTGGGCAAGCTTTAAAATGTCAATCTGGATGGTCTTGATGGCATTTTCCATCTCCCTGTGCCTCTCCTCTATCCTTTTCTGGCTCGCCTGCACGCTGTCCACGATGTTGGCCACTTTGTCCAGGACCGTCACGATGGTGTAAGCTGCATTTTGTTCTTCTTCCTCCTCGGTGACACTGGAGAGACGGTTTTGGTGGGTTTTGTCAGCCTCCAGGGTGATTTCACGGCGATCCATTTTGCCTGCCTTCGGCCGGGTCGGTGGGAGGCGAAGTCTCGGCGATCCTGCCAGAATGATTCTGGCGCTGCTGCAGGGAGCCAGGGCGACAGCTGGCTCCGGTGATGCTCAAAGTAGGGCGTGAAACGCGGTTCCTGGAGCTCAGTCAAATGCTTCTGACTACAAAATATCCACACATGATTGTTCGGATACTTTCGGCAACATGAAACCCCTAAAATTAGGAAGCAATGTCTGGAAAGGAACAAACGTTTAAAGGGTCACGCTTCTGTACTGATGGAGTTATTAGTGTTAATCCAGGAAAGTTAAGTAACTTACTAATTAAGCAGGAAAGCAAACTTGCATATTTTTAACAATCTGCTTCTGGTTTTGTGTTACTGGAGTGCTTTCCTCCAACAGAACTCAAAGAGCGGTCAGGAAAATTAACACTTCTCTTCTTTTTTTCCCAGCAAAACAACTTGAGGTCTTCAGCTTGCTGCAATTACCACATGGGCTAACAAATAAACACACTAAACCAGAGGCAATATAGTGAAAACGTTGTATTGTGACATGCTTTTCCAGCTCAAAATGTTGAAAGCATTTTTGTTTTTATTGAACAAATTATTAAATCCTACATGCAAAATTTTGAAAACCTAAACTACATGTTAAGACAGCTGAACACATCCTATTCACACTTTATCTCGGGATCTTTCAAACGACAACTAACAGTCTATTAATATAACTATGACCAGCAAGTCTAATTTGGATGGACTTCTTTAGCTCTTGAAAATACTCTATACAAGAGCATTAGTAATTCATTCACTTTTATTATTCTTTTTTTATTTTAATCACAAACACTATACAATCCGTATTGTAGGTGTTAAAACATGTATTTTCTTTAAAAAAGTTTAAGAAGTATTAAAACAGCTTTAACAGTGATAAAGTAGGCTTTATTCCAATTATTTGTGTTCAATTATTCAACACCAAATTTTACAATACCTAAATCTACTAAGACCTACTTTTTTTGGACCTGTGCCATCTGCTCTACCAGGTAACTTCCCAAACCATGAAATTTATAATTTTCCTCTTTAAAAATAAATTGTTGGAATTATTTATGAAGATGGCAGCGCTTAGACCCAGCCTACACTTTTTATAAATATGTTACAACTACACACAGCACACAGCTTCACAGTTCATGCGATAGGCAGTGTCTAAAAAATCAGTTACTAACTTCCAAAAACATTTAAATATCTACGGTATTTAAACACAGTGTTTTCTAGTTTCTCATAAGAAAAGTAAGCTGTAAACATTTTTACCTTTAGTTCATGCCTTGTTTGCTAGGTAATGTGGACTTTTTTGTTCGTTTGTTGGGTTTGTTGGATTTGTTGTTTTTTTTTTTAAATCTACAACCATTGGTGGAATAAATCTGTGTTCCCAAAAATATTACATTCCATGGATAAAGCACAAGTCTATCATATAACCATGTGATACAGATACAGAAAATGAACTACTGTATTCAAAACCATAAAAGTAAAGATACTAAAACAGTCCATAGCTGTTAGAGCTGATGCTTTCAGAATACAGACCAACATTGTTACACTAAAAATGTTCAAAAATAAGGCCTCTGAAATAAATATTTCCATTCTTTAAAAAAAGATATAATAAAAATGTACATCACATGGTCAATGCAGGTATAAAAATCACTAAGTTAAACCATTCTGGACGATGTATCTGAAGTAAAATGGCCTAGATTTTGCTTCTGCCGACGTCCTCTATTGTTTTTGGGGCATTTTCTGTTAAAAAAAGAAAAATATATGCTGCATAAAATCAAGCCTCACAATAACACATCGATTTAACTTTCTCTACGTGACAACAGCAAGGAGTCTGTGAGCCGTGCTGTGTGTTCAGTACTGGACTGTCACTTGGGGATGTCTGTGGGACCCCAGATCACTCAGACAGGAGTTCTGCTTGAACTTGAGACTGAAGCCAGCAAGGTGCTGTGTTCTTCAACCCTGAACCAGCAAAACACATACACTAGTGTATAACTGCATTGGCTTTACTTTATACATATTTCATACTTAAAGTCCAGAGGGTTCAACCCCCTACACTGAACTTCATCGGAGAGTGACAGGGAAGGAGGTCAACATTGCTCGTTCACAGGGGTGTTGTTCTACGTCACTGAGTTTAGGAAACCATGCACTCATGCAGTAGCAGAAAGGTTTATGGCCCGATATAACTGGAGCTGAAACAGTGAAGGATGAGTTGAGGAGGAAAAGACAAAGTGTTGCACAGATGCCGAAGTGTAGGACTTAAATGCTTCATGAGCTTATGGGGTAATTAAGTCATCCTTCATCAATCCCAGAGCCCTCAGTTCTCATTGGGCTTGAGCCTTGATGAGCAAACTGAATTCCTTGTCATCAAAAAGAATTCATGTCTCTTATCTCAGTTTTCATAAAGGGCAAGAGTCTGAGACAATGCAGAAACTTGAACTCTGTGTTTGTGCATTTTTACATTTCATAAAATAGGTTCTCTATAACAGGAACAAGTGACTAATAACAGAACCAGATGCACATTAATTTTCAGAAAGCATATATGGTGTGAAGAACACTTCTCTCTCTGTGTAACACCATTTACAGTGGTACTGCAGGCAACAGCATCTTGTCAAACTCTCTGGTTTTGCTGGGTGGAAGGTGGGGATCATAGCTTCTGTAAGATATCAGCAATGCTTGAATAACTCCACTGAAGGTCTAACACAGTAGATGCCCTTTTGGATGTGTTTCAAGGCAGATCTGTTCTGCTGGGCATTTGGTCTGGGCATTCAAAAACCACCAGAGTGGTTACTGGTGGCTTGTGAATTTAAACAAATGTGTGTTCTGTGACCAAAAAAATAGAGCGATGTCACATAATCCTTCCACTTCAGTCATTTAGGTATTTTTCATGTGGGTATTTCAGGATAGATGTTAAAGCACAGAAAGCTTTGGGAGTCAAATATTTAAATACAGAAAAAGTGTACCCATACAATGTGTATTTTTTCATTGCTTTTGTCTTTACCTACCTTGTTATGCACATGACAATTGCAACTATAATGGCAATCTGTACAGCTCCAATTATTGCTGCAATAAGGACATGCGTAAGCTTTTGTCTACTGGGGACAACATAAAGAATACTAAAGTCTGTCTTTTCACAGTGCTGTCCAGTATATCCTGATTCACACCTGAAAAAGAAAAGGAATATTTCATGGAAACTGTAATTTGACCACAGGTCAGTCATTTTGCAGATGAAGTAAGGAGTCCAAGGCGGCTCCAGCTGACAAAGAGCTGGTGAGGAGGCAAGGGTGTGGTGATGCTTGGGCTGGGGAACAGCTTGGATTTCTGTGGCAAGAGAAGAGGCAGAACAGATACACTTTGCTTTCCTAGATAAGGATAACGGAGCCCTCAAAAAACACATCAGCGTGGTGAAGGCCCCGATTTGGCAAAAGCAATATGTGGGGTCATTATTAAACTGGAGCGATATTTAGGAAGAAAAAAGCAACCAGGTGAAACAAGTAGACGAGATTAAATGAAACACAAAGAAGCATGCTCATGAAACAAAGGGAGCATGCTCATTCAGCTGCGATGTCAATACGGGAGAGAAGTGACAAAGAGGTAGAGAAACCTTGAAAAATGAGGGAAAAGGAGGATCTCTTTTCAAGCTGCAACTTAACGGAAGTGGAATCCTACAAAACCTACTGGACAAGACCAACATTAAACCTCCTCCTGCCTTGTCACCAAATCAAAAGTTGACAGAGGTTGGGTTAGAAACCACAACTGTTCAACCGAGAGTTCATGGAAGACTCCATAAAAACTGGCCAGGGGAGAAATGGCTGGAGACGGAAGAAAGGCTTCTGTTCTAAATGGTACCCTGCCTGAGCAAAGCAGCAGTCAGCTCAATGAGAAACTCATCAAAGGCTGCTCCTGATCAGCAACACACAACAAGGAAGGTGAGATCTACCAGTGGTGAAGGTGGCACTGGAAACCCACTCCGGAGGAATTCATGTCACAAGAGAGGTGGAAGCACAACAAGGAGAGGCGACAGCCAACCAAGACAGTAAGCTGGAGTCTGCAGAATCAAAGGCAAGCAAGCAGAGAGTTTTGTAAACTGGATCAGAAAAGCCCGAATGCAACACAAAATCAGTCTTATCCATCCAAAAGCTTCGGTGCTAGGGTAGGAGTTAATTCTGTTTGGAGGAACAAAATAATTACTCCACAGACCTTCCTACAACTGCTCATGCAACTCCTAATCCGCCTTTGCATGCAGGAATAACAGTTGGGGTTTACACGTTCGTAACCTTGTGACTCTACTTTCTCCAGCTGCTGTGTAAGGAGTTTTTGCTCAGGCACGAAACAAGTTCCAGTAAGAGCAGAGTTATTAAAGAAAAGTCCCCCCACACTCTAAGTAAGCTTGGTAATGGCTGGGAAGCGAATCAAGAAAAACATGTATTTGCATGCAAGAAGGAAGAGGATGGGGAACAAACACATTGGTAATCATGCAAAAAGAAACAATAAGGAGGAGGAATCCTTGCTAGTGAAAAGGACTGAGTTATTATTGTTATTTTGCTTGTGTTTTCTTTAAAGAAGGTAACAGTCAAAGTGCGATCAATGTGAAAATTGCTTTACAGTGGAACAAGCACAAGTAATTCGAAGATGTTTGCTTGGAAATACTGAAGAAACAGGAAATTATTTCTGAGAAATATTGAATGGAGATTCAGGAGTATTGAATTCCTGCAAAGAAGAAGTGTTTGTGTTAAGAGCTATATTTGTGGTGGGATGTTGTTCTAGGCACTAGTCAAAGCTATGTTAAACTAGTGAAACAGATTTCTAAGCATTCTGCTGCATTAATATATATAGCAAGATAATACAGCATCAATATAATAGCAAGATAAATACAGGTCTGTGTGGATTTTTCAAGATATGCTGATCAGTCAATTAATTGAATTATCACACAGAAGTCCGGATTTCTTTGCAAAAGCTTGAACTACCCTGCTGTAAAGACAGGGCAGAACTGCGCTGCATAAGGGCGGCAGCAGGAGAGAGACCAGGTCCCAGCTGTGAAAATGCTTCTGAACTATATATGCAATTATGCAGTTGACTACTACAAAACCTTCCTCCCACCCGCCTGCCAATAGTCCTGGAGGGCTGCTGTACAATGAATGAGGGGATTCATTGTCCCTCAGTGAAAGCAAAAGTCAGAATTTACACTGCGCAGTTTTGTAGGTCATCTGATAACTCATATATATCACTACCAGGAAATGAGGACCAAATTAAACAATTTATATGCTAGATATGTGTGCAAATGCAAAGCATTTGAAAATAACAATCTGCCCTTAGCATTCATCATTATATTTTCCTTGCCAGATAAAGAGAGAATGTTTTTCTTTGGTAGAAGTAAACAATTAGCATGGCGGACTGATGTTTGAAAATAATAATAGATAATAATCAATACTTTAATGATCGAATAGGAATTGAATCATAAATGAATTACTGTATGATTACTACCATCCAGAAAAAAATATGAGAAATTAAAAAATCAGTTCACCCAAGAATCTTTTCCTTGAAGTAGTTCTACTTAGAATATTTTGAGAACAAATCCATCAGAAATTGTGTTAAACATAATGCCAGACTGAAAGAATACTTAAATCAAATATTGCTGCCTAGTGCCCATCAAGATGATGCTGGGGATGCACGCAGTTCCCCCGAAGAAGCAAAGCCATGTTGAGCTCTCTTGGTTTAGCCAAAGAAAAGATAAAAACAATGAAGTCCTGTGGGAAAGATGAAAATAAACCAGAAAGGCTCTTGGATGGGAAAAGGAATAATAGAAGCTTTCAAATGCTTAAGTTGACAATCATACTGGCTCTGCCTTTTGGGCTTCCTGCTCTCTGATCAGTCTGAAAACCCTTAAATCTTGGCAGTGAAAAAAACCCCAAATAGCCTCAATCGATAAAGATCAAGGGAAAAAATGTGATAGCATCTAATGGATTTACAGCTGAAGTTTCAAAAGCAAAGAGTTATAGCATCTTCAACCACATTAATCTGAAAGTACAAGCTTGCCAGATAAAAGTCCAGGAGTTAAACCTCCTAATAAGTAGGGCACTACTATTGGCCTTTTCCTATAGACAATGTTTTTAATAATTTTTTTTTTTGGAGGAAAACGAAGATGCAGAATTTAGTTGGTGAAATGTAAAGAAAAAAATTATCTGGGAGCTAAGGAAATAAATCAGAACATTGAGGTCTCCTGGGAAATACTGAGTGGCTTAACACTGAGTGTACGGAGCTGCTGGATTATACTGTAGACAAAAAGTGAGGGCTAAAGAATATTTTGCAATTTTATACTCTCTAGATGAAGCCTGTTATTGTGAAAAAGGGCAATAAATGTTATAATAGGCTAGAGAGACTTTATGACAGCAACAATAAAATGCATAGATAGTATAAGAACAGACTGAGATGTCAATGGGGAAAGCACAGTCATACAGAGAATACCAGAGAATACAGGCAATGGCATTTTTCTGGTGTATTTTTTTTTCTCATTTAGCAGCCAAAAATAAGACAACATTGAGGCTACACTCCTCAGATGGATTCAGATTTTGAATTAACTGACTGATCGAGCCTCTCTCCTGAGCACTATCTCCTGCACGACCGGAGCAGCTGGGTGCTGCCCGTGACGCAGGGATACAGCTCCTGTGCTGCTGCTTAGATAACTGCAAAGTGATACATGCCGTAATTATGTCTAGAGAGCATTTTGATTAAGCTTTACAGCAATTTCAGGCACATTTTGGAGGCATGCAGGACTTACCGGCAGGAAGCCTTCTGAGTGGAATAAATGAATTCACATTTTCCATGTATACAGTAGCCGTTGAAGCTTTCTGAACAAGGTAAGTGGTTTCCAATGTAAATGTCTTCTCTTTGATCACTGGCATCTTGAAAAGAAATATACATAAACAATTCTAAATAGCTGAATGATATTCACTAAAAAAACCCCACAACCAGGAATAGCATGTCCTTAAAAATTTGTAGTGAATAACGGAATACAGAATAATAAAGCAAAGGCTTAAGGGTGAAGTTTCAGAGGCACCTATAGAGATTTGCTAGAATGTACTGCACTGAAAAATGATCCTCAGAGACATCTAAACATGCTTTTTCTGTCAGGTTTCTTGAAAGGAGAAAAGTATTCCTGGCAGAAACAAGTCAATGCAGGAAGATCAGCAGAAGCTTTGTCAGTGGCATTAGGTAAAGAGCTAATATACAGACACAGAGAGCAATCTCCCACGTCTAAATAGGTAAAAATCTGAAGGGTTAGAAAGACGCTGAACCACATTTTGGGATTACTGGGTAGCAAACAACTTGATAAAGCCCAGATCTGACTGGTACCTGAAGTCAAACACAATACAATAGTGGTCTTCCTTAGGGAAACACTTCAATAAAGAGGGAACTTCAAACTATCGAAATGAGCTTAAAATAATCATTCCTTTGGGAAGTGTACTGGTTTTGGTTAGGATGGAGTTATATTTCTTCCTAGCAGCCCACACAGCACTGTGTTTTAGATCTGTGGCTGAAATAGTGCTGGTGACACACCAGTGTTTTGGCTGTTGCTGAAGGGTGCTTGCACAGCATCGAGGCTTCCTCTGATTCTCAGTCGCCTTCTTCCCTCAGCAAGTGGGCAAGAGCCTGGGAGGAGACAGGGCCAGGAGACCTGACCCCAACTGACCAAAAGGATATTCCCTGCCGTATGACATCACGCTTAGGAATAAAAACTGGGATTTTTGTCTTTCCAAGGGGGCAGCTGCTCACAGACCAGTTGGGCATCAGTTTGCTCTTCTGATTCTCTCTTCCATCCTCCTGGAAGGAAGGTTGCAGTGAGCAAGAAGCTGGTAAGAACTTGGTTTCTGGCCAGATCAACCCAGTCAGGAAGACAGTTCCTTCTGCCTCAACATCCTTCATGCCTCTGTCATTACTAAAACCATGTAAATCTGCATACATTTTCAACTGTTCTTTCCCCAAAATTTTTCTGTAGAACAGTCCTCAACACAGAAGTTGGTATTCATAATGAACTTCTCTAAAGAGCAGGGATCTAAAGATGTGAATGTAATTGTGGAATTATGATCATTTCCATGGCAATAGACTATAGCATCACAAATACAAGATCATAATGAACTGCAAGTGCAAAGAAAAAAAGGACTGTAAAGAAGAAAACTCTTATACAGTCACAGATATTCAAAATAACACCAGCAAGAAAGAGAATGTATTTATATAAGAATGATACTACTGTTTCAGGTTTTCCCTGAATGTTTTCTGGAACGTTTTCTAATTCATTCCAGGAGACAAAACCATCTGACTACCAGAGGTTTCAGAAATAAGGAAGCCTGTTGGTTCAAGCTATGCTTCAGAGATACAGAAGAGTTGGCACACGGGAAGAACGTTGCCTAACACTGACAATATGTTCACCACAGCCCTGATGGAACAGACTATGTCTAAGAGGAGAAAAGTGGGGATGTCTCACCCCAAAACCATTGCCTCTCTCCTCCTCCAAGCAGTTAATTACCATGACATCTGGTCCCAGTCAAAGACTAGTAATAAGCTACATATAATTACATTAGTCTGTTGAGATAGCTGTGCCATGTCTGGTTTTACTGTATGTACTAATACAGAATGTGAGGCCCCATGAAAGATGCATCCCCTGAAAGGTGGCCAGGCAGCCAGGGCCACCAAGAGGCAGAGGCAAAACTCGTAGTAAGCAAAGAGATGTTGTTAAACGCAGGAGGTGGTTCCTAATGTAAACCAGACATTTACCCACCTATTGATGTGAATTTATTTTTAAACTGAGAGGCCTGCTATACTGCTTCAGAGCTTGCAAGTGAAAGATTTAATTGGTGTAGGATCCTTGACAGAGTGACTGGATAGAAGAGTTCAGATACTTCACCAGAAGGAAGAGGCATGCACAAAAACTGAAACCCTCTCAATAATCTTGGTATAGCAAAACCAGAAAGCCAGCTGAATCTGGGAAAAGAGATCTTACTGATATAACTTCCATGTGCACTGCAGGAGAAGACTGTCACGACTATGGTTCTAGAGACTAGAAGGTATTATACCTCCAGAGAACAGGCTTTAACAAGAGTAACTCACAGGAATTTAAAGCAAAAGCAAACAGGTAGAACTGTGGATTGTTCTCTTATCCTGGAAGAAGTCATTCAAAGTAGTTCACTTCAGGCTCTCACTATCTAAAAAGACCTGACTACTGCAGAAAAAAATTTCAAAACAATTTTTTTGCACTCTGTGCACATCATTTGCCAAAATTGAGACTGCACAAGCTACTCACATTAATAATAATAATAATTATATACAATGCTTTTTTTTTGCTAACTAGATTTCAAAGGCAATTTACATGCAATGACTTCTGAATAGGAACCAAAAGTGGTATTTCATTACATCACATAATAAGACGTATATTCTATTTGGTGCCTTTTATGCCTTCATAATGTAAGTGAAAATGGACATTAAATCATTCCAACTGGTACATCACATGGAGTGAAAAAACCTGAACTTGTGAAAAAGAAAAACGTACTGAGCTTTTTGGCATTGAACGGCTGTTCAAGAACACAAGGAATATTGAGAGCCACGGTGGGATGATTTTACTCTGGGAGGCCATGGGAGTGCAAAACAAGTATCATGAAAAAACCCTGAAGACCAGAGCTAACGGTGATGATACCAACCCCTCACAACAAAAATTGCATTAAGACCAGTGCCAAGAAGAAGCAACAGCAAGTTATGGTCATTAGTGACTCCCTCCTGTCTGGAGCAGAAGTATTAATTTCCAGACTGGACCCTCTTTTCAGGGAAGCTTGCTGCCTCCCTGGGGCTCAAATTAGGGATGTTACCACAAGACTGAAGAGCTTAGTACAACCTTCAGACTGCTATCCACTCCTGCGCTTTCATGTGAGTACGAGAAAGTCTGAGGTGGATGAAAAAAGATTTCAGAGTCTTGAGAAGAACGCTAAAATTAAAACGCAGCATTTTCCTCAATCCTCCCAATAATGGGTAGAGACTGGAAGAAACAGATGAACCCAACGACATCAACCCAGCTCCAGGACTGGTGCTTCCACCAAAACTGGGATTTTAAACCATGGAAAAACCTTTGAGACATAAGGTATGCTGGGGCCTGATGGGATCCACCTGTCCTAAACAGGGAAATGCATCTTTGGGCATAAACTAGCAGGACTGATCGACAGGCATCGTTTCAGGACAGCAGTGCTGGTGGGAATGTTTGTACTGCTCCTGGGAGCATGGAGGGCTCAAAAGCGAATCTAAAATGCTTGTACACCAACGCACACAGTACGAGAAACAAACAGGATGAACTGGAAGTGTTGGCTCCCACAGCTACGATATGGTTGGTGTTGGTGAGACTTGGTGGAACGAGTCCCATGACTGGAGTGCTGGGATGGAGGGCTACAGGCTGTTCAGGAGCGGTAGCCAGGGCAGGTGAGGAGGAGGTTTTGTGCTTTACATAAGGAAGTGGTTTGACTGTACAGGCCTTGCTGTTAGTGACGATGTGGTCGAGAGCCTGAGTGTGAGGGTTATGTGGATGGAAAACAAAGGAGATGTTGTAGTGGGTGTCTACTACCCATCACCCAGACGGGATGTAAGCACTGATGAGTTATTCTACAGGCAATTAGGAGAAATTTCTGGATCGGTAGCCCCTGTCCTTATGGGAGATTTCAACTACCCAGGCAACATCTGGGAATATCATACTGCTGTGACAAGCAGGTCTTGGGAATTCTTGAGGTTTATAGGAGATAAATTCTTGTTGCAAGTACTCAGTGAGCCAGCTCGGAAAGATGCCCTCCTAGGCTTGCTGTCTGTGAATGGAGAAGGACTCGTGGTGGCGGGGAGGTGATGGTAGATGGCTGTCTTGGCCACAGTGGTCATGAAATGGTTGAGTTTAAAAGTTTCAGCTTAATGAGAAAAAAAGGACAGCAGAGTTGGTACCCTGGACTTCAGGAGAGCAAACCTGAAGCTATTCAGGGAGCCATTTAGCAAAGTACCCTGGGAATCTGCTTTTGAGGACTTAGGAGACCGTGAATGCTGGTCAGGTTTTAAGAAGCACCCTTTTAGAAACACAGGAGCTGGTGATTCCACTGTGTGGGGCAGAAGACCCGCTTGGCTGAAGAGGGAACTCCTCGTGAAGCTCAAGAGGAAAGATAAATTGTATGATCTCCGGAAGCAAGGTCAGGCTTCACAGAAAGAGTACAGATCTGTGGTTTATATATGCAGGAAGAAGAAACAAAAGGCCAAAGCTCAATTAGAGTTGAATCTGGTCAGTGCCAGAAAACAAGAAGGTCTTTTTTAAGTATGTTAAGAGCAAGAGGAGGTCCGAAAAAAACATTGGACTGATCTTTATTGAAGATGGTCATCTGACCAATAGGCAAGAAGAAAAAGT